TTTACTTTTCTAAAACAGCTTACTATCCCTTGTAAACGTTGTACTTACCTCAATATTGGTTGGTTATCGTATGCCTACAACTACGGGTTGAAAACGAAACGAAGTCGATTTTCCTGCGAAACCTGGAGGACTACTGATTAATTCAATAATGATACGACATGGGTCAGACAAAGAGTGTATTTATACATATATCAAATATTTAGCTGTTCAAACATTAACTTGTAGACAATCTACAATTTGACATTGTATCATACCTGATCGTGCCTGTGAAAATGGCATGCATTTTCATGCAAATTTATGTTTATATGAAAATATAAAAATTATTATTATTATTGGAAAAACTGTCCAGGTAGCCGAAGAGATGCGAAGATATGGTTTAGAAGTACTGGGTATCTGCGAAAGCGGGTGGAATGGATGTGGATTATCCAAATTGTAAATAGGAGAGTCACTAATCTACTCCGGTCACCCAAATGACAACCACGAACACACTGAGGGAGTGGCTACCATGATTTTACCAGGGGCAGCCAAAGCCCTAATGCAGTGGGAACCAATTTCCTCTTGCAGGATCATGACATGAAGATTCAACTCCAAAGGAAGGAAGGTCACAATTATCCAATGCTACGCAAAGTGCTACAAACGGCGCGGAGCAAGAGAAGAAGGAAGATGTGTACAAAAAACTAGAAACAGTGGTGGACAACACCCCGGATAGGGAAATCAAAATCCTTATGGGCCATATGAATGCCTGCCGAACTGGAAGCAGATAATACAGGAAGAGAACTCATCATGGGTCGAGAGGGTCTTGGTCGACGAAATGAATGAGAACGGAGAATTTAACGCAGACTTCTGCTCTTACAGTGATCTGATGATTGGAGGGAGCCAGCGTGTATAAACACAAGGATATACATAAAGCAACATGGATTCCGTCCGACGGACATACCACAAACCATACAGATTTCATATAAGTGCTGCTCAAGGAAGTGGAGACGCAGCCAGCCTGCTGGATACAAAGTCGAGAAGGGAAGCAGATTTGGGCTTAGGCAATCATCTAGTTCAAGGAACCTTCAAGGTGAGGATGAAATCCATGTAAAAAGATGGAGACAGACCACAATTCAAGTTCAACATTCAGAAACTGAAGGACAAAACTACAAGGGATGCCTTCGCTAAAGATATCAGAGCAAAGTCGGACACACTACGTGTTATCACTGAGGAAACTTGCGTGGAAGAACGCTGGAACTCCCTGAAACCGATATTTAAGGAAACGTGTACGGATGTTCTAGGAAAAAGGAAGAGGCAAGACAAAGAATGCCTGTCAACGGATACCTGGGAGCTAATCGAGGAGAGGAGGATGGTGAAAGAGAAGGTGATTCAATGCAAAGATGGACAACAGAAGGAGAAGCTAAGTTCAATGTACACTGCACTGAATTGAATAAAGAAGTGAAGAAGAGTGCTAGGAAGGGAAACGACAACTCTATTACACACTGGCAACTGAAGCAGAACGGGCCGCAGGCAAAAGAGACCTCAGGATACCATATCAGATAAAAAAGTCTCTATCTGGGAAGAGATCAAACCAGATGATGAAACTAATAAAAGATGCTCAAAGGAACCTGACTAACAAGGATGAGAAACAAGTAAAACAATGTACTGATCACTTTAAAGGTCTCTTGAATCGACCACCACCAGCAACTCGCCCAGAAATACCACCAACAGCACGCACAGAATTGCCGGTGGACACCACTCCTCCAACGAAAGAAGAAATCCTAAACGCGATCAAACTACTGGGGGACATCCGGGAAGGCGGATGGAATTCCCAGTCTCATCATTCTGGGGAGGATAAAGGATGCACTCGATACAGAACTCCGCCACCTACCGGAACAAGCTGGATTCTGGAAGGGCTAATCGGGCGCTGATCAAATTGCAACTATACGCATCGTCATCACAGAACAAAGCATAGAATGGTAGTCAAACCTCTACCTCAACTTTATCGACTTCGAAAAAGACTTCGACAGCGTAGACCGAGAAGTAATTTGGAAACTGCTTCAACACAATGGTGTGCACATCCCAATCTTTTTCAACCTCATTCAAAAGCTGGCTATATGACAGTGCGACGTGTCAAGTGATCCACAACGGAAAACTCAGCGAGGCATTCGAAGTGCATACAGGAGTAAGGGAAGGCTACCTTCCTATTATCACCGATGATATTCTTAATTAAGGAGGACTGGATTTTGCCTCAGACTGTTGGGGGCGAGGAGTCAGGAATGCTGTGGACTGCCGATAAGAGGACTCTAGAATATCTAGATTTCTCACATTGATGATATATGTCTAATGCCACACAAACTCGAAGACTTACAGGCAGGCAAAGACCAAAAAACTGGCAGAAGAGGCTGGCAAGCAGCCGAGAAAGGGCTCCGGGTGAACATGGAGAAGACGGAGGTGATGGAGAAAACCAACCGACAGCATCAGCAACAACAATCGGCACCAATCACCACCAACGGGAGAGATTTAACAGAGGCACATGGAACGGACGAAGACGTCAAAGTCAGAATCGGAAAGGCGAGATACGACTTCACCAACCTGAAACCAGTTCGGAAATATTCTGCACTGGCTCAGCATAAAGAACGAGATTCGGATTTTCAACACCAATGTCAAATCGGTTCTTCTGTACGGGTAGGAAACTTGGCGTGTCACGGAAAGGATTTCCAACAGGTTTCAGACTTTCATCAACAGCTGCCTTCGCTGGCTCCATACTGAAGATCTAATGGCCTGAGAGAATAAGCAGCAAGATACTTTGGGAACAAACCAACAGGCGCGATCCGATCGCTCAACACATGTAAGTGGAGGTGGAGATGGATCGGGCATTCATTGAGGAGGCCGCCGAGTGACATCGCATGCCGGGCCCTCGATTGGAATCCCAATGGGAAGCGATGAGTGGGTCGTCGGCGTGAGGGTGACATGAAGGACACCGTGCGAGGAAGAGATGAGAGATTTTGGTCAATCGTTGAGTCATCTGAAGAGGACAGCAGAAGATGGGACAAAGTGAAGATGTGTTGTTGAAGCCCTATGTTCCACTCGGAACTCAAGGGAAAAATAACGAATAATAATAAGTGCCTCCAGAACCGATTTATTCTATATAGTTCAAAATAAATCCCAGGGACCGTTTAACATTTTGGGCAACATATACCTGCACAGACCAAAACAGATGTCAAACAAAGATGACTAATGTCAATTATCTATTGGCATTAAGAAACGTAGTGCATGGTATGATAGGTATTAATCGTCTGAAAGTTAACAGAAATTTATTACGAAGGTAGAAGCTAAGCACCATATGGAATACGTCGCACTAGTCCGAAGTTAATAATAATTGCTGACTCCTCAGGCCTTAACATTTAAGAGGATATCATGGGGCCTTACACACAACATGTATAAAGAGTGAGTATGAACAGTTTCGCATTAGGTACCATTAGAATGGTCCAAAGACTTGTCCATAATAATCAGTACTGGTTGTACAGTCACTTAACAGCGAGACAGAATTTTCTAACGACTAATATAATCAGTTTTCAGGCTTTCGAAAGCAGTCAGTGAATGTATATATATTTATATATGCTTTCGGAGTAGACTGCTCAGACAAAACTGGTAGACGAAGGACTAAAATTTGACGGTCTTCGCTGAAAAGAACAAAATTTCCCAAGACAACTAGTTTTAGTCTAATTGAACTGCACTTGTGTCTACTTAAGCCAACACTTAGTTTCTGATGCTTGAAAAGTAAGGTCTTTCAGCGAAGAGTTACCCACTTCACTGATGTCATGTTGAAGCCATACAATCGCATACATGTACAGTAAATTCTCCCAGAATAAAAAGAATATTTCAAAATGTGTCATTAAAGTCGTAAGTTTAAGAAAGCAATTACATGATACAGAAAGTGTCTTTCGGGCAGAAATCAAAATTTAATTAGATAAGCTGCATAACTTAATATGACTTGTGGGATAGAGTGTAGCTCAATTTAAATAGATTCACATTAAGAGCAATTGCGTAAAGCGTGGGGGGTAGAAGAGGACATAATTAAAAAACTAAAAATACGGGATTTAGAAAAAATGTCCCTAGTGTTAAGACAAGTTAGGGCTGTTGTAGTTTCAGCGACCGAACAAACATCTTACTTGTTAGCTTGCACCCAAGGAGGACACCTACTGTAGCTCAAGAGTTGAAGTTGTTTAGGAGGAGGAATTATCTGAGCTATAAAGCCTTGTTTAGAGTTTAGAATTCTCAATAACTAACATAATTGTCATTTATTACTTGTCCCTTCCGTTCCGAGTGGAACATACGCTTTAGGTAACTTGTTCTCGTTGAACTCTGTACTTGGCAATTTCTTTCTCCTGTCTCCACGACTGACCATGTGATTTTACTCCATTCTCACGTGATATACTGCATGTCACTTTCGGACTTATTTTGTGATACCTCTTAAATGTTTTCTTAATGTGTGCCTAGTCTCTCTCCACTTCCTCCCACACATTCAATGGAAATACTCATTACCCTTGATATTTAAAGTCTAGCAGATTGACTAGGCATAGTGGCACACGTGCGTGCTCGGAAACTTATGGGTAAACCAGCAGCCATCATGGATAATATTCTGCTGCTCTAGTGTTAGCATATTAATTTTAAAACTTCAAGTATATTAATGGTGTGTCGGTGCACTGTATTGTTCGAAACTCTTGTATACTTAAAGACTAGCCGAGGGGTGAAAAGCAGTGCCCCAGAGCTGTTTCAGGAACAACGAAGCGACATAAATGCATTGTCTGTTTACATGCAGACTTCCGTCAATCTCCAAACTCCTAGCATGAGTTAAAAGCATAATTGACTGCAAATATGTCAGATAAATTACCGATTTAGTGAACACTTAAGATAAGGTAGCTATATGCATTAGTTACTTTTGATTCTCGAATCATCGGATTCACTTGTTTAAGTAGTTCAGCTGGGTATTTTCTCGCAAGGTTTATCCCAAAGGCGGGATGGAAGCAAAGTCTTCCAGCATTAGTGGACAGTTTAGGTCAGTTGTTGCTGTCAGTTTGTCCTTTGCTAGCTTCGTGTCATTGCTAGTCTTCATTACACGTCGTCTACCATCACTACCTGAGTAAGTATAAATTATATTTTAAATTATGTGCAAGGGAACACTGGGAGCATGTGAAATTCCCTCAAAATGTGAACGATCTAAAAAACATTGGTCTTGTCTTATCAGAATATCAAGATAATTACTACTGGCAAATACTGATTTTGATATCTGCAGTTTTCATATTGTATCCTTTTTACTGTTGAGAGTCATACATTAACTCACCATGTGAACGTTGTAAAACTCTAGTTCGACAAATCCGACTGACAAAAGCTTTTATCACACACGACAAGCACTAGGCAGAAAAGCCACAAAAGTCTTTGGACGCACTTCTTTGTGGTGTGCTTGTGCACGCGAAGTTGCTGCAGTGTCTGCAATGCTTTCAAAGCATGGTTCAAAGTGCCTGCTGTGTACGCAAAGTTTTTGCATACATACACTACCAACTCATAACACAGTATTAGCTTGTAAAAATTTCACTTCTGTCTTGAGCTTTTATCATGGGTTTCGGTGTGGGAATATCAATTGAGATATTTATAGACACCTTATGTAGGTATTAAACAACAGCCATCAAGTAAATTACCTCATTGAATTTAATAGTGTGGTACTCCACAAAACTGTTATCGTCGAAACCCGTGATTTCATTTCATTGTTTATTTATTCCTTTGCTTCCTGCAACTTTTATTAATAGCATCCGAATTTTTATTCTACTCTGTTGGCTTCACACAGTTTTTTGTTGATACAACTAAAAGTTAGTCCTTTCTACTTAAGTTTATTACATCTTTTAATTATGTGTAGTTTGAGTTAGAGTTCGTAATTTCCAGAAGATTTCCTTTCTTAGTAACGATAAATGTATCATCTACATATTAATGCCATGTTTGATCATCACAACAAAGAGCAATATTTTTCCTCTAATAACGTCATATATATGATCTATACTCACAGATATTAGTTAGCCGATTGTGCCAAAGTTTGCAGTCCGATATTCTGAATATCCTTATGACTGACATAATACGTTGATTTACTTAAACTAATTCAGGAGCTAAACCTTAACTGAAGTTCAGTCTACAATCATTTATGATACCAGGCTCCGTTTTATGCGTTGTTCTGTTGGGTTATTTATTTCCTTTCCATGTAGCTCTCATCATTGTAGCATTGGTAAGTGGTCATACTGTAACTAACTAAATCGTTTTCAGTGTTCAGCCATTGGTGCGTCTCTGTGTTATCTTCTTGTTGGATTTATCGGTTCTAAAGTTATAACACACTTATTTCCTGAGAAAATTGAAATATGTCGCCAAACTGTAAGTAGTAATAATGGTACTAAAATTACTGGAGATTTTCTTAGATTCATCAGTATCGAAATGCAATGTTTTTATGCATATGCTGTTTGAGGATATGTCCTTTTATCCCTAACTGGCTTGTAAATGTATCTTCACCAATCATTGATATTCCACTGGTCCACTTCTTCTTTGGTACATTCGTGGGTAAGTTTTTTTTATGGGTGCTCAACAAAATGCTTGTCATTGCTTTTGTTAGTAGGTGTTTAGTGGTTCTTTTCTACTCCCAGTGGAACTTATATGTGCTACAGCTAATGTGATGAGACATTTGATATTGTCTAGTTATCCAGGGTTCGGAATAGAAAGTTAGGAAATGAGTTTACGTTTTGTGACTTAAACAATTAACTCATTAAGTTACTAGGTCTTAATTTTGACCATGGAAGGGGGAATTTCCGTATACTTAATTAAAATGTGTGAATTTTTAGTTAGAAATACGGTTGAATACTAACTGGGATGATGTGTATATTTTTGGTGTAAATCTTCAACTGGTGTGTGTGCTTCGCGTTTATTTATCTTCTCTCACCTCACACCCTTGTTATTCAGCCTGGTATAGAAGTTATACACTTCTATTCGACTCGAACTGCTGCACGTTGGTGCAAAGTTCTGTGTTGAAACTAGTCAGTCAGTCAGTTATTCGACCTACGGTTCCATTTATCTTATTTCTTGATAATGTCCTAAAATGTAACTCATTATGGCATTTGACTTTCAGCCATGTAGGCTACTTCAGGTACTATAGTTGGGTTGTTTTAATATCTGTTAATGCGTCACAACTCCAGTGTCTTGCAGTGTTACTAGATTTGGGTCAGAGTCGAAACGTGTGTGGATTTTCTTCTTTGTATGGTCAGGTATGTTATGCTGATGAGTTCCAACAGGCACGGAAATGAATTTTAGAATTTGCTTTCATTTTTATTCAACCAAATTTGGAAGACAAAGAGACTGAGCGAAACATATCTTTTCAGATAATTTCCCCATCTGACTCTACAGTCTCGTATACACTATATATATATATATATATATATATATATATATATATATATATATATATATATATGAGACAGCTGTCCAGTACTCCGTGGTTTTCAATGGTTCTCTAACTGATATCAATCCGTGGTCAAACTCGTATAATCAAATTAAATATCCACAAGCTGTAATTCTATCGGCCGTAACAACTCGATATTGTTAAAAAAACCAATGTCTCCAATAATCATTACTCTTTATATGTTGTATATATATATATATATATATATATATATATATATATAACTGTAGACCTAGATGAGGAGGTTATCAGAATGAATGTTTTTCTCACTGTTTGTTTTCTAAATGGGGATTGTCGCTACATATGACAAACACTTCAGATGTGTTGCACCGAAGTATAATTGAAGTATTTAACGACTTTAGGATGCCCAGATATTCATTCATTAACTCAAGCCATTCACTGAGTGCCGAAATATAAGTCATTAAATCGGGACGATTTGGTTTCAGATAAATATGAAGGGAAATACGAACTGTATAAGAAAAATTCAATAGGATACCTCAAATCACGGAGAAAGTTAATTTCCTTACTAGATGATTGTTACCAATCGCACTTAGTAGAGCAAAGCTTTGGAATGATTTGCAAAGTATTGTTGCGCGATTGTCAGAAGTCCGTACCTGCACTAACCCATGAAGGTGAACCGTTGAAAGTAGTCGGTAAATTCGTGTATCTTGATAGCTATGAGTGCTTGCACAGATATGATGTACGAGGTAGGGAAAACCAGAGAAGCGCACAACAATTTGACTTCTTACTGGAATCGTGTACGTTAACCTGGCGGTCAAAGGTCAAGTTTACAATGGAACAGTGCGTATGGTTTTGCTCTGTGAATGTGAAACCTGCCTTCCGAGCTGAGTATGTATGCCGATTGTATTCGATCACCCTAGCCCGCTCAGAGTTGTTTGCATCCAGTAGCATCATGTAAGTAATTTTGAGGTCCAGCGGCGTGTGTTTAGACATAGTGGAGGTCATCTTTCAATAATTGATGTCATGATAGGGCACAAGTTTCTGCAGCTTTGACATATTCTACGAATGTTATGCCGGCGATTCCCATACCGTCCTCTGCTTTTTAGCCACGGGTTTCGGTGGAGAAAGGGAAGCAAGGGTTAGTGTATGATGTAATGCTGTGAAATAGGAGATAACTGTTCTAGGTTAGCAATATATAAGCGCATCAGAACTCCTTGGATAGGATGCCAGAGGTAATCCAAAACAGTGGCTGGAGAGATTATCAGATACGTCTGAAAATCGTAAACAGTGGTGAGTATGCTGCAAGTTTCTCCTTTCCCGTATATCTGAAAGTAACATGAAGTGATGAACGTTTTTGATAAGTATGCTTGCTTGTTTTCATAATGCTGTTCTTCAGTCATTCTACTTGTGCATATATTGTTTTTTGTGTGACTCATCTCTTGGTGTCCGTGCTTTACCAAGTTTGTATTTCGATGTATGTTGGTAAAGTTGCCCAGCAGTTAATATGATATACCTACCATCGCTTGATCTACTCACTTAGCTGTTATGATTACCTTAGCTTTTATTTCTTTTTACATGTTGTAGCAACTTCTACTTTTATCCAGTAATTTTGTATTCCATGTTGATAATGTCTCCTATAATTGGTTTGTGTAATCCCTCTATCGGCCTGCTGACAGAATACCAAGTAGCATAGGACAGAATTCAAAACAATCTCGTTCACCTACACATTTTAATGCTGTTTTCGCGTGTTACACAATAGGTGCAGTTCACAAGTTAGCACCAGCAACAATGGTATATGACATCATTGAGTTGATTAAATTTACAGGCTTGGTACATTATGAACATGAAGAGAATACGCTATACAAAATTTCATAGTTTATGCGAGGGTTAAAATACTGTCTGGAGGCCCAAACCGAAGCAGGTGGTTGTCTTTTAGAGCCATTCTACACCGATCTTTTGACTTGAATTCTGATCCATAAGGCAGTATAGAAGCGTTAGGAGCTACGTTGCCATGATTGCCGGTGACCAAAACAGGTATGTACGCCATTCGATCCGTTCGGATTCTGGAGCCCTTGTTAACCGTAAATTTGGAGAGTTTACCAACTCCCCAAGGTAGACCAGCTTGTCCACCAATCCGGTTGTAAGCGGTGTGGAACTCCGCGGCGTAAATGCACTGAATAAGACTTATTTGGCAAAGCTTATAGACACGTTTCCACATGAGAGCATTTCAAGAGGACTAGCGAAGTCTGCCTACCCTCGGCCGTTTATGGAAGCGTACGACATCATTCCATCATTTTAACTACTGTGTAAGATAACGGTTATCTGCAGTACACACTTACTACTTTTGGTTTCTTTTTACAAGCATTTTTCTTTATTTTCATTATCCTTAGGAGTAGTTCCCCTCTCCTTGGTGTTCATTAAAGCTGGGACAGTACTCCAAGAGCTTACAGATTTGGGTGTAGCTTCCTTGACGTCATTTTCAACACTACTTGTACTAGCCGGCTTATCAATTCTGCCATTAGTCTTTCGAAATCAGTTGCGTGGAGCTCTTTTATAAAGGTGCAGAACATTCTTGGCATTTCCGACAGTAATTTGTGCAATCTTCCTTGTGACATTGTGTAATTTTTCTTCAGGAAAAGAAAATGCTTGAAAAGATTATTTATTACTAATAATATCAATATTATTGTATAAATATCTGTGAATCTGTGAATTTTTGTTGTTAATTTTATTCATAAGTGTATAATTTGTTTTCTTTCAACACAAAAGCATAATTAGAGAAAAGTTTTATGGTTCCTTATTTCCACTTGATTTGTACAAACAATGATTTCTTGAAGTGTTTGAATATTATCATATTATATATTCTGATAATGGTTATAATCAAGCCAATGGTCGTTGGGGGGTGATTACTGGCTTCCCAGTCTTGTATAATCTTTTAAGTTTCATTTGCATAGAAATGGTCTCATCCACAGCGTAAAATCACTTAATTAGGTGGCTTGGGTTTAGTTCTTAAATTTATGAACTGTTATGTAGTGTGATTGTGTACTGAATAATAAAGGGACTGTTGAACCACTAAAAGAGTGGTAGGATGTTCGTTTTACAGCGTAGTATACAAAAAGCACCATAATGGGAAACTACAAGTTGGGTGTGTGCCCAGGGTGAAATGTCTCTGTCTATCTGGATTCAACATAGAACTTGGCACCGAAGTGCAGCAGTTCTAGTTGCCACGTTCCAAATAGCACACAAAGGTAGACAAGAAAATGAGTGATGAAGAGAATCAATAGAGTTTTGACAAGTATAAGAGTGAAACAGAATGAGTAATGGTAGAAAGGAATATGAAAGATTACAGAGATTGAATACATCTTCGCCATTGACAACGATTTTGAGCCATGTCACCTATTGTCTCCAGCCATTGATTCTTAGAGACCCGAGGGCGGGCCCCAACCCGGAAGTCTGCATCTCCTTACCTGACTCAGTTTAACTGTCAAGGATTTCATGGATTGATGGCATGTTTTTGTTTGGCCACCACTTACTCTTCCAACCTGCACCTATATCAGCTAGTAATGCCGATCGGGGGAGGCGATGGTTAGGCATGCGCAGCACGTGGCCTAACCATCTCAATCTATGTAACTTCATAGCCTCTTCGAGTGATTTTCCCTCTTTGCCCAACACTCTACGCCTAACGTCAACATTACTTACCTTATCATACCACCTAACGCGAGAAAGAGATCGTAAACATCTGTGGTCAAAAACAGATAAGCTTTTCATGTCTTCAACTCGTATTGGCCATGTTTCAGAGCCATAGAGAAGGATGGACCGAACTGCTGAGCAGTACACACGTCCCTTGGTTGATAGCCGGATGTCACGCCTACGCCAGAGATGGTGTAAGTTAGCGAAAGCAGCTCGAGCTTTTTGGATCCGTGCTGAGATTTCGTCGCCAATCAGTCCGTTGGTGCTGATACAACTTCCCAAATAGGTGAAGTGGTCAACATGTTCTATCACTTCACTACCTATCACTAAGCTAGGAGTTGACGTAGTCCAGTCCTGTAGCAGCATCTTACATTTTACAGGGGCGAATTGCATGCCAAACATACGGAGATTGCTGCTCAAGGTGTTCAGAAGACTCTGCATTTTGTCAGCATCCTCCCCTAACAGGACTATGTCATCTGTATATTCTACGTCCATAAGACTATTCCCTGGTAACAAGTCGATTCCTAAGTCGTTAAGTTCAGTTAAGGATACTTCCATTAGCATATCTATGATGAAGTTAAACAGAAAAGGGGAAAGTGGACATCCTTGACGGACACCACTGGTTGTTAACAATTCAGATGACAATTCCCCATAGGCCCTTACACGGCTACGTGAGTTTGAGTAGAGTGCCTTGATTAGTGCAAAGTACTTTATTGTCACTCCCTTCACAGTCAAACATTGCCATGGTACCTCTCAATCCACGGAGTCGAAGGCCGCCTTCAAGTCAAGAAATATGGCAATGCAGTCTGCCATGCACACCGAAAAGTGTGCCTATGTTCTAGGATCTGTCGGAGAGTGAAGATATGATCTATGTACCCTCTACCTGGCCTAAAGCCCGCTTGATTTTCCCTGGTTTGTTCCTCCCGAGTTCGGCTTAGTCTGTGAATGATTACTGAGTTTAGGATTTTAGAAACTATGTTCGTCAGGCTGATCCCTCTATGATTATCACATGAGGACTTGTCTCCCTTCTTGAATATTAGTATAATAGGTGACTTACCGCAGTCTGATGGAACCGTCTGTGATTCCCAGACGTTACCTAGTACCTTAGTTAATCTACATATTAGGATGCCACCCTCATATTTAAACACCTCTGGAATAATTCCGTCGGGTCCTGTCGCTTTGCCTCGTTTCAAATTAGAGATAGCTTTTGTGATCTGACTTAAAGACGGCGGACCAGTGTCTATATCCCATTCGGGTGTGTGCTGGATGGCAGGGAGGTTCAGTGTGGCTGTAGGCAAGTTAAATTGTTACTTAATATGATTATGAGCAATAGTTTATGCTCGAAACGTCATCAGTTAATATTACTGTACAACACTGTGTGATTTATCAAAATAAAATCTTATCCATAATGTTCCTCAAAGTGTTCTTCCCAGCGTTCAAGGCGTCTATCCTGAGAGCTAATTAAGGAGCCATTTTTCTCAGAAATAGTCTCACTTATAATTTTGCCTTCTCCCACCCGTTTCCCTGGTGAGTCTAAAGAGTTGCCTATCGCCGATGCTTTTTCTATCTCTGTTCACGGTCCTTGCGGAGACTTTTCGTAAGTTTCCTTCTGTGCAGCTTTCACTCCTCATTGAATTCGGAGCTCGCCGGAATGTCTTCTAGTATATATCAGTTCGGATGAGGCAGTCGAAATCCAATGGTTTTTACTCACCTTTGGATTTACCTTATTCACAACTTTATCTATGGCTGACTGAATATTCTTCCAGGCTTCTTCAGGGTGAGCACAGCTGTCGAACTCAGATATGTGTTTAGCTAGTTCTTCCTCAAATAGGGACTTAGTTTCCTGATCGAGCTGGGGACTTAATGGGTTTACCGCCAGCTGTTTCCTGTGTTTGAGAACACAACGGAACAACAATAATAATGCAAAAAAGAAATTAATCGCAGTTATACGTTACAGAAGCCCGATTGTATATTTGATTGTAGTATCTATAGATAAGTGTAATCACGGGTTTTTCATACAGTGAATATAAATATCGTACAACTTATTTAAAAGGTGTTGAGAAAAGTCATTGAATGGAGAGTATGTTTTTAAGTTTACTTGCGTCTTCTTAGTTTTCAACGCATTGTATTTATTCACAACTTCTCTGCATTCACACAAAATTCGCTAGTAAACAGTGGACATGGTTTTGTTGCTGTACTATTGTCAGGTTGGCGTATTGAATTCATATTTCTCCTTGGAATGTTTCTAGAAGTTGAGAATTATTATTATTGTTTCCTTTAATTCCTAGTGGAACATAGGGCTTCAGCCAAACGTCTCCATTTCGTTCGGTTCTCTGCCAGAGTTTTCATCCGACTCCAAGTCACCCTCACACTGACGAACAACTCGCCTCTTCCCTTTCGGGTTCCACTCGAGCAATGGCTTGTCTAGTGATGTCACTTGATGGTTTCCTCAGAGTATGGCCAATCCGTCTTCATTTCTTCCTGCCTATTTGTTGCACAATCGGTTGCTGGTTGGTTCGCTCACTGCCAGAGATCTCTGTTACTGATCTTTTCTGACCGGCCATCTGATCTTGAGTATTAAGCGAAGGAACCTGTTGATGAAGGTCTGTAGTTTGTTTGAGATGCTCCTCATGACGTGCAGTGCAAGTCTCTGATCCGTATAGTAGCACTGACTTCACATTGGAGTTGAAAATCCGGATCTTATTTTTGATGCTGAGTGCTGTTGACCTCCACACAGACTTGAGAGTAGTGAAAGCTTGTCTTATTTTTCCGATTCTTGCTTTGATATCCTCGTCAGTATCGCCTGTAGTTGTTGCTTTTCGCTTGCATACCTTCCAGTTTGTGGGAAATCAGACATATATCATCGGTGAAGTCCAGATCCTCCAAGTTTTTTGTGTGAGTCCATTTTATGCCTGTTTCCTTGCTGCTCAGTGTCTGTCGCATTATTCAATCTACTGCAATCAGGAAAATCATTGGTGATAGTAGGCAGCCAGCTTGTCTTACTCCCGTCTTCACTTCGAAGGATTCCGTAAGTTTCCCGTTGTGGATCACTTGACATGCAGCATTGTCTTACAGCTGTTGGATGAGATGTATAATTGTCGGTGGCACCCCATAGCAGCGAAGTAGTTGCCAAATCACCTCTCGATCGACGCTGTCGAATTCCTTTTCAAAGTCGATGAAGTTGAGATAAAGAGGTGACTGCCATTCCAAGCTTTGTTCAATGGTGATCCGTAATGTGGCGATTTGATCAATACATGACTTGTTTCTCTTGGATCCACCTTGCCCCGGTCGAAGTTTTTCATCCAGGGCTTGTTTGATTCTCTCCAGGATGATGCGGCTTAATGTTTTACTTGGGATGGACAGAAGCATAATTCCGTGGCAGTTCCTGCATTGACTTAAGTCTCCTTTCTTTGGTAGTTTGAATAGGTATCCTTTCTTCCAATCCTCGGGTACTTTGCCTTCTTTCCACACCTTCTCCAGTAGTGGCGTCATCAAGTCTGCTGTTGTCTCTGGGTCCGTTTTCAATGCTTCTGCTGGGATTCCATCTGGTCCTGCTGCTTTTCCAGCTTTTAGCATCTTGATTGCCTTCAGGACTTCTCATTTCGTTGAGAATAAGGCTGCTTTATTATAATCAAATTGGTAATTTGCAAATTACATAGTTTAAGGTGAGAAGTGATCATAGTCTGCTTAAGAAACCAGAAATATTCAGATCACAATATGCGGTCTACTTGGTACCATAAATGGCAGTCAAGCAAAGTAGTGTGCTACATACCACTGTTTATTTAGAGTTTATCTATCTATACAGCCTTCATGTGTCAGCTACATATCCAGCCCTAATTGGGCGGTAGTTTCTTTTATTAAGTAGACCTCTACATATTCATACCTTAGTGTAAGTCCTTTCTGAATTGATGAGTATTAAGTATGGATAAGTCAGTGCAGTATAATGGCAGTAAAGTATCGATATACGTATGTGTTTGTCGTTGAGAAACGTCCGTTGTCGGGTGGACATCATTTATAACAAATATAATATCTAATCCTTCTGTCTTGATTAAATTATGAAAAAGCGAAGACACTCTTTTCGGCGAATTCATTCATATAGCTGTACAATCGCATTTATATATAAATATTTGTGTGTGTGTGTGTACATGAGGTTTGTCAGGTTTAGATAATTGATTAGTTAATACAAGAATGATGTAGTATAGAGACAAAGTTAATCAGACAGCAACTAAAGTAAAATTGAGTTAAAAAACTAGATGACGTAATATAATTGGCTAA